TCTTGGCTACATTTATCTATTAAAAGTTTCCCGATTGGACTTGTATAACTCATTTAACAAGCGCTTGAATGCTAGTCGACATCTCTCCGGTGAATCTGTCATTTTCCCGCTTTTCTCTATTAAAAATTGTTAAGAAAGGCTTTTCAATAATTCTGCAATGCAAAAATAGCGTTTAACATCACTTAATAACATTAAGAGTCACACTTCACTGTTTTGGCTGAACTGGCACAAGCAAAATGTTAGTTGATGCCAAGCTCCTTTTCGAGGAACAGAGAACAAGGTAAAAATTGAGTATTTTCTATATTTTTCTATGCGTATCAGTTGTTCTAGCGCTATAAATTTGTTGAAAACAATCTTTAATTCAACAAAATCTTTTATCCAATATAATACACGGTGACCGCGAGTTTAGCGACAACTTTTTTGTATCTGGGAAATGGCTAATTTATTTCAAAAGTGCCAAGTGTTATATAGAGAATTGTAGCCCTTAATCTTGGCTATATTTATCTATTAAAAGTTTCCCAATTGGACTTATACAACTCATTTAACAAGCGAATGAGCGCTAGTTGACATCTCTCCGGTGAATCTGTCATTTTCCCGCTTTTCTCTATTAAAACTTGTTAAGAAAAGCTTTTCAATAATTACAATTTACAATTGTGGTGATGAGCCGGCTTGTGCGGCTTCGGGAAAGTGGTTTTTCGAGTACGGATCGGATGACCAAAATCCCTATATTGTGTGCAAAAAGAAATGAGATGTTGTGGTAGATTTTTTGAGCTTTAAGCACTTTATTTCAAAAAGAAAACCCATGTTCTTGTTGAAAAGCTTTCAATCATTTATTCATTTCAATCTCAATGATTGCTTGCTAGTCGATTGGCGCGGAGAACTTGAGAATCACCATTTGGTGGCAGAGCAGCCGAATTCGAGGTACAGAAGCTGATATCCCCGCCCCAGTTGATTTTAACCACACAATGCTCTCCGGCTGGGCACTGTTTACCATCAGCGCACGATTCCTTAAAACAACTAAAGTTTTCTTTAAGGATTTTTCACCTTTCGGTGGCACAGTAGAATATTTACCAATAAAAATTTGAAATGAGCTTTTATAGCGCATAAAGTTAGTGTTAAAGCTGAGCTCTGGGCCAGTTGCGAGACTGTCGTAACCTGCGACACTGTCGTAAGTCCTTACGACACCATTTCATCACCATTTTACGACACTGTCGTAACTTTGACTACTGTCGTAACTAGTTTTTGGGCTATATCTTCGCTGTAGCTTCGCGAAACGGTTTAATTCCTTTTCTATATGAAAATTGTGATAGTTTTCTACGCAGAATTTCTTTATAAAAATTGTAGAATGCTTTTGAAATTTTTATTAAAGGCTTGAAAGATGGGCTCCAAACAATCCTTAGCACGCAACATTATTCAAGCTCTTTCTAGTTCATTTTCAGACTGAAATCGATTTTCTCGCTTTTCTTTGATAAATTTAAGCTTTAAGAAGAACATTTGGATAATTCTTTAAGTTAATCTTGAGATTAACTGATGAAATTTGCCAGTTGCGCCAGAAATTTGCGAGAAAAATTCATCTTCAAGAAGCCGTTTCATCCAGAGCTCATAAAACCCCACATCGTTGAAGATTTTCATTGAAAAACATTTGTTTTGAGCTTTTTAACTAGAAAAGATTCAAATAAACCATGTGAGAGCCCTTAAAATCTGTTCATGAAAAGCTGTAGATTGAGTTGCGTGGCAAGGGTTTTTTTTGAGCGCATCTTTCAAGCCTTTAATAAAAATCTCAAAAGCATTCTACAATTTTTATAAAGACATTCTCCGTAGAAAATTATCGCAATTTTTATATTAAAAATGAATTAAACCGGTTCGCGACGCTACAGCCAAGATATGGCCTAAAAACTTCGAGGCGATAAGTTGCGGCCTGTACAATTAAGCTACAGTCGACTCTCTTTATAATGGAACTCTATATAGCGGAACTCTATATAACGGAATGGAATTTTGGTATAAAACTGGAAAGGGAAAAATTCCAACTCGAACCTTATTCCACCTTTGTTTCTCGGCCGTTTCTTGACCGATTGCTCTGAAATTTTGTCTACAAGCAGACAATGAGAATGCCGATTTCTAGACAAAATTTCAAAGCAATCATCTAAAAAACGATGATGGAAATAGGTTCGGGTTCGAATTTTTAACTAAAACGGCAATGCTCACCAATATTATATTGTTTAACTTGGTGAAATATTAATAAGTACTTAAATCTAATGTGTATTGGTTTGATAATAAACTGGTACACTAGTAGATTAAACTGGTATACTAGTAGACTAAACTGGTATACTAGTAGATTAAACTGGTATACTAGTGATTAAACTGGTTAACTAGTGATTAAACTGGTTAACTAGTGATTAAACTGGTTAACTAGTGATTAAACTGGTATACTAGTAGATTAAACTGGTATACTAGTGATTAAACTGGTTAACTAGTGATTAAACTGGTATACTAGTAGATCAAACTGGTTAACTAGTGATTAAACTGGTTAACTAGTGATTAAACTGGTTAACTAGTGATTAAACTGGTATACTAGTAGATTAAACTGGTATACTAGTGATTAAACTGGTTAACTAGTGATTAAACTGGTATACTAGTAGATCAAACTGGTTAACTAGTGATTAAACTGGTTAACTAGTGATTAAACTGGTTAACTAGTGATTAAACTGGTATACTAGTAGATTAAACTGGTATACTAGTGATTAAACTGGTTAACTAGTGATTAAACTGGTTAACTAGTGATTAAACTGGTATACTAGTAGATTAAACTGGTATACTAGTGATTAAACTGGTTAACTAGTGATTAAACTGGTTAACTAGTGATTAAACTGGTTAACTAGTGATTAAACTGGTTAACTAGTGATTAAACTGGTTAACTAGTGATTAAACTGGTATACTAGTAGATTAAACTGGTATACTAGTGATTAAACTGGTTAACTAGTGATTAAACTGGTATACTAGTGATTAAACTGGTTAACTAGTGATTAAACTGGTATACTAGTAGATCAAACTGGTATACTAGTGATTAAACTGGTAAACTAGTAGATTAAACTGGTATACTAGTGAATAAACTGGTATACTAGTAGATTAAACTGGTATACTAGTGATTAAACTGGTTAACTAGTGATTAAACTGGTTAACTAGTGATTAAACTGGTATACTAGTAGATCAAACTGGTTAACTAGTGATTAAACTGGTTAACTAGTGATTAAACTGGTATACTAGTAGATCAAACTGGTATACTAGTGAATAAACTGGTAAACTAGTAGATTAAACTGGTATACTAGTGAATAAACTGGTATACTAGTAGATTAAACTGGTATACTAGTGATTAAACTGGTTAACTAGTGATTAAACTGGTTAACTAGTGATTAAACTGGTATACTAGTAGATTAAACTGGTATACTAGTGATTAAACTGGTTAACTAGTGATTAAACTGGTATACTAGTAGATTAAACTGGTATACTAGTGATTAAACTGGTTAACTAGTGATTAAACTGGTATACTAGTGATTAAACTGGTTAACTAGTGATTAAACTGGTATACTAGTAGATCAAACTGGTATACTAGTGATTAAACTGGTAAACTAGTAGATTAAACTGGTATACTAGTGAATAAACTGGTATACTAGTAGATTAAACTGGTATACTAGTGATTAAACTGGTTAACTAGTGATTAAACTGGTTAACTAGTGATTAAACTGGTATACTAGTAGATCAAACTGGTTAACTAGTGATTAAACTGGTTAACTAGTGATTAAACTGGTATACTAGTAGATCAAACTGGTTAACTAGTGATTAAACTGGTTAACTAGTGATTAAACTGGTATACTAGTAGATCAAACTGGTATACTAGTGAATAAACTGGTAAACTAGTAGATTAAACTGGTATACTAGTGAATAAACTGGTATACTAGTAGATTAAACTGGTATACTAGTGATTAAACTGGTTAACTAGTAGATTAAACTGGTATACTAGTAGATACTACCTAAAAAACTCTTTCTAACTCACCCCATCAGCTGTCGTTGAAGCAATGAAAGCAATAGCGAAAAAAAGAAAAATACAAAGTTTGCTCATTTTGAAAAATTTAAAGCTTGAATGCAGAAAGGATTCAGTATTTTGATGTAGTATTTATATGATTTAAAAACTCTCAACAAAGATCGACTTATTTATTGCTTGACTGGGCGTGAACCCTTTAATCTCTTATCAGCAAAAGATTTTCGAGAGAATGACGAAAAAATTGGCTTTTGATTTTGTTTTGAGTGCTTAACCTGATTGGGGTACAGAAAGTGATCGGATTTGAGCTGAGATCAAAGATTGGCTCTAGTTTATTCATGGAAACTCTCCTACGTCAAGGAAAATGGCCTAGAGATTAGAGTTTTGAATGAAAGATCATTTGAGAACTCTAAGAATAAGCTATTGAACCTGAATTTAACGGCGTCGCTTTCAAAAGTAATAGAACTTTCCAGCCATCCTGTAGATCGTGTTAATCCAGCAGATTTCAAGAAAGCTAGTTAGAAAGTTACTGTGATTTGTAGGTTTGTAGATAGCTTTGACTACGCGCGAGTACGGTCCGTTTCGAGTCAGACTATAAATCACTGTAACTTTCTTTAGCATTGATATTTCTGAGTATGCTTTAGTTCATTCGGAAGCTCTTGAGATCAGAGTTGTTTTGAAAGAAACATTATTTGAGAACTCTAAGAATAAGCTATTGTTTTTCTTGAACAAATTGTTTGGTATCGTGAAGGCGATTGAAGTTACCGTCTATCTTCAAAAATGAACGGAGTCAGATGAGCTGAGTAGTTTTGGCTCTATCAAACAATAGCAATCACTACTCTAAGTAGACAGGGGCACTACAAACTCCAAACGTAAGCTACAAAGTCTTCTAAATTGCTTCAAAACTGAATCTATGGCTGAAATCTATGGCTGAAAAAAATCGAGAATCTCAAGAGCTTTCGAATGGACTAAAGAACATTCAAAAATATTAACGCTAAAGAAAGTTACAGTGGTTTGTAGGTTCGTAGATAGTTTCGACTACGCGCGAGTACGGTCTGTCGGACTAAAAACCACTTTGTTTAGCATTGTTATTTTTGAGTGTGCCTTAGTTCATTTATTGGGTTGGGGAGAATGAGTCGGCGCCGAAAATCAAAAAAATGTCTGAAACTTCTAGCAGACTTCGTCAAAAAATATGCGTTTGATATGAGTAGAATGGTTAACTAATTCTCTACAAAATGACATTTAAAAGAAAATTCAAACAGCGCCTCCGCTCAAGAAAAAGCCATTTTTTCACAAAAACTACAAACTGTGATCTAGAAAAAACCATTGGTGGGATCTTCCTGCAAATTTGGCAACTTAAGTAATTGAATGTGCTCTATCTTTTTTATATAAACACCAAAGAAGGTTTATGTGAAAGAAACTGTTCAAATGATGAGTCGGACTCTTTGCCATTTTAACCAGCTGCGTTTGGAAGTTCATAAACTCCACGAAAGAAAAGCTTTGTAGAATCTCTCAAAAGTGATTTTGTAGAGAAATAGTGGATCCTTTTGATGAAACCAAACTTATGTTTAAAGAAGGCTTTAGGTGTGCAAAAAGTCCCTTTAAAGTTTGGCGCCGACTAATTCTCCCCAACCCAATAAAAGCTCTTGAGATTCTCTATTTTTTCAGTCATAGAACATGTGAATCTGGAAGATTTGAAGCAAGTCAGAAGCGTTTGTAGTGTGACAGGTTGTCATTATTGTATCGATCTACGCGCGACTACGGTCCATCAGACTTAAAACCACTGTAAATTTCTTAAGCTTTGATATTTTTGAGTGTGCTTTAGTTTATTTGAAAGCACTTGAGATGCCAAAGCTTGAGCCAAAGCCAAAGAGGCCACTTGATCCCTCGACTTTTCTTATTTTCTTTCAAAACAAAGAAAACGAAAACTTTGAACGTTAAAACTATTATCAAAGCTAAATAGAAATTTTAGAAGTTGAAAAGCTTTGTTGTAAAAGCTTTGTTATAAAGCTTTGTTGTAAAAAAACTTTGGTGTTTTGATTTCTTGGTCGCTTTTTATTGTAATAAGAAAGATTTATTGATTCAAAAAAGAAAACTAACTAACTAACTAAACGTAAAAATGAAAATCAAAATAAGAAATGGGTAAAGTAAAAGTAAAAAGTTTGTTTCAAAGTTCAAAAGTTTGTTTCAAATGTTACAAAAGGTAAAAATCATTTAAGAAGAGGCTTTTGGTGCTTTACCGTTATATTTTCTCATTTTTTCCTATGCATTAATACCGTTATACCTCGAAAATCTATTTTTTACTATCCTGATCTAAAAGTACAATCTTGTGAACGTTTACAACGATCATTCATTCAAGGTTTACCTGCAAGGATTGCTCTAACGTTTGTGCGCCTTTTTTGATTTGATTTTTGATTGCCTATTTTCATTGCTTGAAAAATAAAAGGCTAAATTCAACGCGCTCTAATCTTTTAACAGATGATTTTTATTGGATTTTCAAAATTTCACAGGGTTGTTCGGGATTCCGGTTGTCCGGTTGTCCAGGATTCCGGTTATCCGGTGGTCCGGTTGTCCAGGATTACCGTTGTCCAGTTGTCCAGGATTCCGGTTGTCCGGTTGTCCAGGATTCCGGTTGTCCGGTTGTCCAGGATTCCGGCTGTCCGGTTGTCCAGGATTCCGGTTGTCCGGTTGTCCAGGATTCCGGCTGTCCGGTTGTCCAGGATTCCGGTTGTCCGGTTGTTCAGGGTTCCGGTTGTCCAGGATTCCGGTTGTCCTGGTGGTCCAGGATCTAGGGATATCTTTGATATTGCATATTTTTGCTTACAATTTATATATTTCTTTTGGCTTTCTTTAGGTTTATTTTACTTATTTAACTATTTTCTCAAAAAGTATCTCTTTTTAGAATGGTCAAGAAGTGAGTGTATCGAGATGGAATCATCCACCAACACAAGACTCGAGTTCTGGCAATGGATATCTTTGATCGATTGATGATACGCAAACAACTTGTTTACAAAGCGATCAAACGCTTTCAAGTGTTAGGAACATATTCTGATCGTCCCGGACGTGGTGGTAAAGTGATCGTTATCACCAAGGCTAATATCAAGAAGATCGAGATCAGCTACGCTTGTAAACCACTCATTCGCTGTTTTGGTGTCATTTTAATGTAAAGTGGTCTTTAAATCTTCAAGCTTTTTAATTCCCCTAATCTTGGACAACTCTGTATTTGCTCTACACCTTTTCCCAAGATAGTTATATCGGTCATGTTGCTCAAGGTCATTATGTTGTACCTCTACATCCTATTGAAACCTGGAACTCATTTGACTCAATACTAGGTTGAAGAAAAAGTTCTGACTCAGCTGCGAAAAATTAATTTTTCTGCGCGACAAAAATAACAACAAGTTGCCTTAAAGTATAACCTATCATTATCTACGACTTTTTGTCATCGATCTGCAAGATTTCGGATCTGGTCGAGGTACCACTTCTTCAGTTTCGAATCAAAGAACTCTTCTTCTTCTTCAACTTCTTCAAATGACTCGAATCGGCGATCTTTCAGGAAATGCTGCAATGATCGTCTTCAAGATGTAAGTGCAATGATGTAAGTCTTCCAGTGTCACTGGAATCAAAGCATCTGTACCATCTCGAAAACTTTTGATTGACTTACACTTCCTTCACCTTCAGCATCGCAAATCTCTTCCACAGCATCTCTCGTTGAAAGTTTCCGTTTCCAACAATAGCAGATCAAAACTCGAAGCTCTTTTTCTTACAAACTCATCTAGAATCCAAAAATCATGATTGGTAAATCAAGATAAGAAAACCAGCAAAAAATGCATAAAAATAGAATTTTTCTCAGCTGAGTCAGAACTTTTTCCTTAACCTAATATTACAAAATGAACAACTTCTTCGTTCTTCACAGTTCTTCGCGGGAAACCTATCATGCAAAGCTCAAGCTAAGTGCTTATTGTTTGTTTTTCTATTTTTCTTAATTCAAGACATTATTACTAACTCTTCGGCTCAATATGTTGCCAAAAAACTGGGCCACAAAACGCTACAGGTATAATGGTCTTAATGGATCGGAAAAAAACGCGGAGATATAACGGTAAAGTACCCAAAAAGTGCCAAAAAGTACCAAAAAAGTACCAAAAAGTACTAAAAAGTACCAAAAAGTACCAAAAAAGTACCGAAAAGTACCAAAAAAGTACCAGAAAGTACCAAAAAGTACCAGAAAGTACCAAAAAGTACCAAAAAGTACCAGAAAGTACCAAAAAGTACCAGAAAGTACCAAAAAGTACCAAAAAAGTACCAAAAGTACCAAAAAAGTACCAAAAAGTACCAAAA